TATTTGGAATTTAATGTTATAATAAGGAAACTTCCTGGAAAAGCACCAGCCTATCTTCAACTTGATATACTAGTCATTGCTAACATTTAAGTGGTAAAATGTTAATCTTTTTTGAGTGCTATGTACCACAGGAAGATTACAGATATGATCTGACTGAATTCTGCTGTGCTTAGTCATTCTGTTAACTCTCTGGTTTGAACAACCTGCTTTAGAGCAATAAACTCAGTTAACAATATCTGAATCATAATTGGATTAATGGTCATTCAGCTAGCATATAGCTAGACCTGAATTGCGTCACTTGCAAACTTGTTCTCATTTATCCTAAAGTTTGAAAAGGTGTCCCAGAAATACTGTTTGCAATTATGGTTTTCAGAACTGGCCTGTTGGTATACCCTAAAGACACTGTTGCAGAAGTTCAACAGAGCAGCAAGGCAGAGTTAGAGGCCGAGCAACAGACACGAACAGCAAGAGCTGTAGAAAGATCTGTTAGTAACAGTTGTTTGAAAATGTCTTTTCTGTGTTGTGGGCAGAGATCAGAAATACCTCCTCTGACTCCAACACAGTGGTGTTACGGTGGGAAAAATAAGGACGTGGGAAATATATCCATCTCCCTTGATCTAAACAGCATGAAAGTTGAATAGCTATGTTTTCTGAACAGAACTGCATCGCAGTTCAAAGAGCCAGACGGCTGGCTTAATTGCATTTCAAGGGTAATATTACATTCTTTGTATGACACTACAGTAGCGTTATTTTAAAGAAAAATTATTTCAGTGAAGTTATCATCATTAGTGAGTATGTAACAGATCCCTTAAAACACTGGTGTATTATCATTTGAGAGTCCCTAGTGCAAACCAGACAGCTTGGCTCTATGTAATCTTTATGTGTAGGGTACATGCCATGGATGAAGGGTCTGCGCCTAGCTTCAGTCTAGATCTCCTGGATTCTGTGGAAAAGTATCACATAGAAAGCTAATTGAATGTTACGTTCCAAGCCAGGTGCTCTTTGGAAAGGCTGGAAAGAGAAGGTGAGAGTCAGGCTGAAGGGCTTACGACATTTTCATAAGCTGTGGGGAAAATGGAAAATCAAATACCTTGTCCAAATCTTTGTGATTTGGCAGCAGATGTGCTGATGTTAATCTTTTTTTTTGAGATTTTTAAAAATCCTTAAAAACAAACAAACAAAAAACAACCATTCCTGTAAAGTTCCTTACTCATTGAATCATTGACAGCAAACAATAAAAAAATTTCAGACAACTCTCAAATACCTGAATCACCAGTCCGGTTTTCCAGCAAGATAGTATCATTGCTGTGACTGCAAAAGGCAAAATCCTAGTCTGAAATGCAGGCAGTGACTTATTGTTTCTGGTGGCACAGTATATTAGTCCTTTTGTTTTGTACTGATGCTCAGTCTGTACTGCTACTTCGGAACAGTGTCTGTTGCCTGTGCTTGCTGGAGTAGTAAGGCTGTAGTGTTTGTATCAGCATCCAAATCCTTGAAGACCCAAGGAAGCCCACCTACACTTATGGAGTTTAACATTCTTTCATTAGGTACTGCTAGATGTTTACAGCCTTGTGCTTATATTTTTTGGTGTGGAAAATGGTATAAATTGACATGTTGGCTAGCTTTGAGTAGTGACGAAAAACATCTGTGAGGATAACCAGTATCACCTTGTTGGCTGCACAATATCAATCCATCCATTTGATACTGGAATATGACAAAACTGAAAGAGTAGAAATTCAAGACCTTTTCTGCAGGAGGAGATGTAGCTGGCAAACAGTCTGTTGGCGTAGTGCAGCTCAAGAGTTCTTTTGGCAGAATACATTCACATTTGGCTGCTTCTGTTGGCAATATATTTCTTCATGGCTTCAGGTTGTATTGACAAAATATATGTAGCACTGTAAGAGGATCTCAGTAGCTGTGCCTGTAGTGCTTTGCAATGCTACTCTTGAAGCCAAATGTGCTAACTAGTCATTCTGCACTTGTTATAGCATCGTTAGAGCTGAACGTGGGGACGCATGGAAACAGTTGACTATCCAGCAGGAAGAATATTGGGTAGTGCTGGAGTTTTAAAGTTTATTCAAAAGTGTACTTACTCGGCTGTGTGGATAGGTTCTGTGCCTGGTTAATTAATTAGGTTCTGTGCCTGGTTAATTAATTAAGTAGTCTGTACAGATAAGTTGGTTCCTTGACCTTCCTTAGGCAGCTGTCGTTGCTTGCTGTTGTAAGACTCTGCAATGGTGGAGTGTCGATTACCAGTTTAGGAAAAATAGTTCAGGCTTCTTTAGATTCATTTCTTTTCTGTTTACCATGTAAACTATTCCACATGGGAAGTCATACCCTCCAGATCCCAGTCAGTCCACAGAGTTGGGTCTGGCAGCTTAGGAGTCATGGAGTAGCTTTGGGCATCCATGCCCTTATGGAGGGAGCTGGTTGCCCAGTAGTCTGGAAACAATGGAAACTCTAACAGCTACAACAAAAAGTCTCTGAGAGGAGTGAGTGTATGCCACAGGCTTACTGGGTGGGGTTCATCTTACCAAATGCAGACAATTCCTTTTCTGGTCTTCATTTATTGTGTATGGAGGAAAATAGGCATTTTTATGGCTTGGGTTTTTTTATTTTGCAGCACAATTTATCTCATCCCAATGTCACTAAAATAAACCAGATGAATCACTCCCTAAATGCCTGTTTTCTCCATTGGTTTTAAAGAAGGCCTTAGATGACTCTTGCAGCTCTAAAAGTTGTTCTGCAGCTGACTAACACTGGTTGTAATGGGTTGCCTTTTATTTTAATGGCTGTAGGCCAAGAGAGAACTTGCATTGCTAAGGGAAACTGTCCTAGCTTTTTGTCCCTGATTTTCTCAAGGGGACTGGAAATGGTGCAGGAATGCATAGAATTGTGCTAGCTAAAGGTTATTTTTCCTAGTGATTAATAATTATACAATAAAGAAGTGTTGTTCCAGAATGAAGTGTCAAATTCATCCATGCTTAAAGTCTTCAGCATTTTAACCTATACTCCTAGGTTGTCGGGTTTTTTTTTTAGCTTTTCTTAGGAAAATAGACTTTATGTGACCAGATATGCACAGTGGGTATTTCTGGAAAAGATGCTGCTGGTTGGTCATCTCTGCTTCCAGGATTTGAGCAGATACAGTGTGCCCTGGCCAACTTCCAAATTACTGGATTTTACGTCCTGGAGACATCTTGCATATTTACTTCTTTTTTCTTAGATAATTGCTGTAAGCTCTTCTCTTTTTGTGGGGGTGTTTGGTTGTTGGTTTTGTTTTTTTTTTTTACCTTTTATTTTTTATAAATGGAAGGCATCTGAGAATCAAGATGCTGGGGCCTATTCTATAGAGCTGGGGTATAGGAAACCAGATAAATAGGATGGATGAGGTATGGGAGGTAGCTATGGCAGAAGAGGAACAGATTCCACTTTTTTTTTTTTCCCCAATGAGATGTACCTGCTGAATTAATTTTCCTTGAGCTCTGTGTGACCATCCACAACACTGTACTCTATGGTGGGTTTCAGCATTTTACAACAAGCGTTACTCAATTCCTCCCATAGAAGCTGAGTGGATCAGGAAGAGAAGGGACCTGTTGTCAAAGAGTTTAGGAGAGAAAGGGATGTCTTCCAATTGCTGGTGGTAAAATATGGGGCTTTCTGTTATTCGACACAGTACTGCATAATTGAACTCTTAAAGCCATCAGCAGGTTTGTTACAATTGTGGAACAGACATTTTGAGACTTGTCAAAAATAATTTTTTGTGTTTTTGCATAATGTGTGCAGGACAACATTCTACCTACACATTTCCATTGCAGTGACTGGGTAGACTCCAGAAGAAACCTTCTATTGGAGAATAATAGAGGCAACGAAGTTCCTCTATTCCTCTACAGGAGCTGGAGAGATTGTGGAGTGTCCTTTTCTGGAGCTATTCAGACCCCACCTGGGTGCTTTCCTGTGTGACCTAATGTAGGGAACTTGCTTTAGCAGAGAGTTTGACTAGATGATCCCCAGAGGTTCCTTCCAGCCTCTATGATTCGATTCTTTTTCCAAGCAGAAGTCAGCAAGAATTAGCACTGTGCAATAGGATGGAACATTTATGACCAAATAAAGCCTTTTCTTCCCTGATAATGTATTGAGTTATTGTAACAATACAGGGAAATCTCTACAAGCAGGTTGCATAACAGACATTCAAGGACGTTTCTATGTGCATTTTGAAAACAGTATCTGAGTATAGGCACCCTGATTTGAGCTCTCTTTTATGAAAGTTACATCTTGTTTTGAGACATAAACATTAAAACTGTATGTTTCAACATTAAATTCTATACAGCATGCAGCCAAGAATTTGTCACTGAGACAAATCCCTTGAACTTGGTACCAGTTTGAAGTCTCATTAGTACTTAGAACTGGGTTTGATATTTGATACATGCCCATTTCAAGTCTTCTATTCTGCCAGATGGAGAAGTTTTATTACTTCTGCTCACTCTTTCTTTATCAACAGTGTAGCATTGGATATACTCATGAAAATGTATTTTTGGTGAAGCAAGGCCTAGATTAAAGGGATATTTCATGAAAAACAGTAACACTTTTCCTCACTCCTGTCAAGTCTTAATGCTTAGAAAATCCAGATTTGTATGAGCTAGTTAGCCTACCTATTGTTAAATCATTATATTACAACATGAACTCCTGGTTATTAAACATTCTTTTCCCATCTTTTCTATGCTGTTTGCTTTTTCTTCTGAATTCTTTATGTGAACTCTCTGTTGAAACAGTTGAAATTGATTTAAAAACTCTCTTTCAAAAATGTTTTCAATTCTTCATTCCCCCTCCCCCAAAACAGAATGTTAGTATTTCAATGCAAAATGTGATGACAGTGTCAGTGGTGGTCAACTTTTGAGTCAGTTGAAAGACTTGGTGAAAGGATCAAGAAACAAAAGAGCCTAAAAGAGTTGCATTTTTGAAATGACTGTATTTACAAGTGTTATCTTTGTTTTCTCTTTCAGTCCCTGGCTTGAGCTGAATAACCAGCCACTGTAAATTGATACTGTCTTATCTGTATCAGAGGATTCTGTCTGGAGGTAAGAAATTTGAATAACAGTAGTATAACAGTGACCTCTTGTATATATTTGAACTCAGTGGTCAGCTATTGCTTAACACCACTGCTTTCTGATGGTGAAGATCTGATGTCATTTTCCAAGTGACTTATGCAATCAGCAGTGCCAAGGGAACTGTAGCTGGCAGCAGACAGAAAAAATTTCTAACAATGGATCTTATGGATAAATAACTCTCCTGCAGGCTGCTGCTCTTTCATAGCCCTTAAAATTAGTTAACAAGGAGGTGAATATCTGTCACTAATGTTATTGCCATCCTTACTTCTGCTTAATTTTGAGTTACTGTTGATTTTCAGACTATGAAAATGGGAAAATGAATTTGGAAAGCAAAGTTGGCAAGAATCATCATCAAATGTACTGACATAGTTCATGTTTTGTGATTATGTGAATCTGGAATTTCATGGAAAGGAGACCAGTTTTATGTAAGAAAGTCCAAGTTTCAATTTGTATGACCTAAAATAGATGTTCCTGAACACTGAAATTAAATTTCAGCGAATCAATACCACTTACCCCAGTGGTTAGAAAAAGAAAACTGGGCTAAGTTTTGAGGTACATGTGTAGGACTGATGATTGCTGCAAAATGAATAAACTGTTAACTACACAACCGTGGCACTTGCTGACTTTCTTGCCATTAGCAATATGCTTTCTAAAGTGATCCGACTATTACATTTGTTGCCTTGGAATAGTGAACTTGTGTTCAGAAAGGAAGCACTAAATGAACATTATTGAAAAACTATTAACCTAAAGTTTAAGAGCTGCTTAAGGCACATGACTAATAGTCTAATTTGCAGGGATGACCTTATGAAATTGAAAAGTCTCTTGCTGACTTTTCTATTTAACCTTGTTCTCTGAACAGGGTTTTATCAGGTAACCAAAGAATTTTTGAGGATAACCCTAAGTAGTGTTGATAATCTCACACTGAACTATCACAAATGAAATGAACTAAAAATATTTATATTATGATACATCGTAAGATGCAAAAGATACTGTGTGCCATTAGTTTATGAGCCAGAACACTTGTAAATTGCTGTTTCAAAGGAAGCCCATAGCATCATAATGATACTGGAGCTGTTTATCTCAGATGTGGTACTCAATTTTACCACTTTACTTGGACCTATCAGTCACTTGAATCCAAGAGTTAATGATGTTTGTGACAGCAACATTTGGTTACTAAATATTTTCTTGAAGAAATTTAAGAGTTAAGACCCTGTATCATCTATACTCTAAAATCAAAAATGGAATATGGATGGAAGAGGTCCAGTACTCTATATGGGTGTTTGTTTCATCCAACTTAAAGTCTGTTATTTTCACTGAGCAACACAAAAAGAATGTAGAGTTAAGCTTTGGTCCCACTGTCCCCTCTAGCTGTGGACTTTTAGTAAGATCTCACCTGTGATATATTTCTGGCCGGGCTGAGCTTTCTTTTCTCCACAATTACACCCTGCTGTGGCTGTGGATTATTTGCTTTTGGTTTTGATTTTATTTATTTATTTTGAGAACAAGAGGAAGTAGTACCTTTTTATTTAGACCAATGAACCTGAATAGGGATTTTCTCTGATTAGACTTAAAGCGCTACTTGAGGTTGCTGCTGTAATAAGTAACAGTACAGTCTAACAACGTACCAGCCTACATTTATTTACTGCACCATGTTTCTCATGTGTGATTGGAATCTGGAGGCAGAAGGCAGCTGGAGGTGATTTGACATCACACCATCAAAGCTGTCATTCTGGCCTTACTTGGCCGCAGAACTAATTGAGCAGACACTGTTTTTCTTGCTGTTAATTCACTGAAGCTGTGAACACTTGGAAATTCTACAGAAGTTTGAAGGACCATTGTAAGTTAAAATTATGCTTCTGTTAGAATATATTGCTTGCCACTGTTAACTCTCTGGTGGGGGTTGGAGCATGTGGGCAAAGGTGGGAGTTACCAGTTGTTAAGTTGTTTGGGTATTTCACAGTGTTTTCATTATAAACAGGAAAAGGTGAAGAATTAATAATATAAAATAAAGTCTCATGTTTGGAAGCTGTGTTCTGCAGGCAGAGCTCTGTTGACTTAACCAGATGAAATTCCTGTGGAAAGCCTTCTCTTTTGCCAGTTGAGTAAGTCTAATAGCATTTCAAGCTAAAACAAACTTTGAAGGATTTGTAATAACAACTTCCTATGGTACGACAGAGACAACAACGTGTCCGTGACTTGAAACTAGTCATCTGACAGTGCCAGTTTGTCTCTGACCTACTTTCTGCTTGCACTTTGTAAAGAACCACGAGAAGCAAAATTGAGGATGAGGGAAGATGAGAAAGTTGGAGGGGCAGACAGGAGAGGCAGAATGTTGGGTGGCTTTCACTTGCCTTGAATCTCATAATTTTTAACCTAGGGAAAACAAGAGTTGTTGGGAATGATGAAAGAATACAACTTTCTGATGAAATAGAAGCCCAGAAGAATGATTTCTTTCTCCTGGCTATCAACAGGGGCTAATGTAGGGACTGCAGTGTCTGAATAGTTGCTGCAAGAATCTCCATGCTTTCTATCTAAGATGCTTGGAAAAAAAAATCTGTCTTCTCAGAATAGCCTAAGTCTCACATGTTCCTGTTCCCCTTGCCAAATGCTGCTGTACCTAGAACCAGGATGGCAGAATGTGTTAGCATGCTGGTCACCCCAGTGAGCAGCTGGTTCACAAGGTGGGTTTTGTTTGTCAGTCATGTGGTGTGGTGTGGTGAAGTGGAGCAGCTAAAGTATACAGTGCCATACTGGTCTGTGCTGCTGAGTCTTGCTTTTTTGGTGTCATTGATTCTGTAGCTGAAGCTTGAATGCATGCAGTGTGAACTAGTAAGCCACAATCTACAGCTGGCAGCTGGAACAAAATCTTACAACACGTGTATTTGGAACATATGGGATCTAACAGGAGCTGATTACTGGATTCTTGAAATCCCTGCCTTTTCTTACTGTGGAAAAAATGTCTATTCTACTCAATCAGGAAACCCTGGACAGTTGATTTTTCTTCTGAAAACTCGAGCCATTTTCACTTCATTGTGCCCATTTCCTGTGCTTTGCAATTACTTATGAGAAATACCCATGGCTACTTTTTAACTTGCTGCGAAAACTATTAAAAAATCCTACTGAGGCTGGGAAGTTTACTATTAATACTAAAGCAGCCTGGTTTACAGCTCTACCAACACAGTGTACATCCTGATCTGCCCTGGCTTCTGACATTCAGGAAAATGATTAACTTGTGAACTTGTATGGTTTTCCTCATGAATGAATTCTGCAAGAGATACATGTGTAAGTACAGCTTCAGTGCGTAATCAAGGCACATACGCAGACCTTTGAAAGAACCATTGTGTTCTCCAAAACATTTATAGGTTAGATGAATAAAATAATGAAAAATAATGAAGTCATTGAGAGTGTTCGGATTTGGTGCAGAACATGACCCCCAGTTATGAAATAATTAGGCAATAAGACACAGTGACCATTTGAACATGCTAATTAGTACACTCAGCAGTGCTGATGTGATGACTGACCTCTTGATCAATGTACCCAAGCTAAAATTGTGAGCTGTACCTGTCATCAAAGGCACAGAAGATCTAGAGCTGGAATAGCCCATGTTCTCTCTGAGTTTCACAGAGGAAATGTGGAGGCACTGAAGTTCTCAGCAGCTGTTCCTGTAACAATATAAAGCTTGGCTTACTGCAAGTCAAGTTTTAACAGGCATTGTTTTTCTTCAAAGCATATTCTTTCTTTGTTATTTCTATTGCTGTTGTACCTTCACAATATGAGGGGCGATAACCACAGCTTTGCTAGTTTTCATTGCTTGGACAATGAAGTGCTTCATTATGTGACAGCTATCATGAAATCTTAAAAAGCCTGAACTTGAGGCCAGGCCATAAGAAGTCTAAAGAGAGAAGAAGTGCAGTAGGACATGGCAAGCTGAGCAAAACCCTAAAAGCTGAAATAATCTGAGGCCATTAACATTTAAAGGTTTTTTGTAAAGCCTTTCTATAGTTGTTTCTCTTGGACTAGCCTATAGCTGTTATCCTGGGTTGATGTGCTAATTAGCAGTCTTGGGAGCCAAAGAATGTCTGGGTGTGGGGACAAGTGCTTCCTCCAGTAACTAGAGGTTCTCCAGGGCTGACCGCACTGCATGGGTGAAGTATTTAAAGAAACAGACACTGTGGTATTCTGCATTGTGGTATTCTGTATCTTTATGGTACCTTTGTGGTACCTTCAGGTCTCAAGCCCCCAGTGCAGGAAAGATGTGGAGCTGTTGGAGGATGAGGGCCCAGAGGAGGGCCACAAAGATGATCAGAGGGCTGGAGCACCTCCTCTATGATGAAGACAGGTTGAGGGAGCTGGGCTTGTCCAGCCTGAAGAAGGAAAGGCTGCAAGGAGACTTCACTGCAGCCTTCCAGTATTTAAAAGGGAATTATAAACAGGAAGAAGGGAATCAACTTTTTTTTTTTTTTTTTAACCAGGGTAGATAGTGACAGGACAAGGTGGAATGGTTTTAAGCTCATGGAGGGAAGGTTTAGATTAGATGTCAGGAGGAAGCTATTCATAGAGAGAATGGTGAGATGCTGGAACAGACTGCCCAGAGAGGCTGTGGATGCCCTATCTCTGGAGGTGTTCAAGACCAGGTTGGATATAGCGCTGGGCAGCCTGGTCTAGTACCAGATCTGGAGGTTGGTGGCCCTGCCTGTGGCAAGAGGTTGGAACTTGATGATCCTTGGGATCCCTTCCAACCCAAGCCGTTCTATGATTCTATGATTTATTATATGGGTCAAGATAAGTTGCTTTCATTAGGTGCCATCTTCTTGTATTCTTGATCAGTTCAGGCTTGACTGATGTGAATCGTGGACTAAGGCTTTCTATTCTGGTTACACTTTTTTGTGCGGCTAATCTACCTCAGACAGCTGACGGTAATACTGGCACTTCTACAGGGAGAAAGAGGACAGAGACAGAAGCTGATTCTG